AACCACGACACGATTGCAACTGAAAGCCATATAAATAAACCATTTGCAAGTGTGCGGTTTGCATGCCTTTCTCTTAGTCTCATCAACCGATTCCCCATCCGCTACACGCCGATCTTTACACTTATCGCTCTGCATCTGGCTCTTGTTTATTGTAGCGGCGCAGATCCAACATTAATAGCTATCAGGCCTTGTTTCATTGAGAATAAAACAAAGAGAAGAGACGTTCAGACAGATGTGGACGCGTTTCCTCTTCCTTTCTCACGGGCCCGGCATGGGAGTGGGAAGATGCCACTAAAATCCAGGAGACTCGTGTTCAAAGTCTGGGGACAGGAAGGAGCTTCCTCAGCGAGCGCCGTGCTAAGCCTGATTTGTCTCTACAGTCGCGCATCAGCAAGGAGAGGCTCTAACCGCTCACCTAGGCTGCCAGGATGAAAAGCGCCCAGGACCTTGACAATCTCTGGTCCTGTGAGTGCCTCCTTCCTCCGCTCAAAGTCAAAGTGAGGGGAAGTTTAGAAGCAGCTGGCTGTTCCCAGAGAGTGGTGTGTGTGTGTGTGTGTGTGTGTGTGTGTGTCACTTTTTCTGCAGGTCAAGCCTCTCGCGAAAGCGCCAACGTGGAGCCCCACCGCACGCTCACTAGAAAAAAAAGCGAGTTTCCAGTTGGCCTTACTTCCGAGTAAACCTGCACAGCGACACTCGCTGCTGCACGGTGCTTTTGAGATCCTAGCGTTCTACACACCAAACAAAGTCTGTGTTCTGACGGCTTAATTCTATTTAAAAAAAATAAAAATCGCAAGGGTGTGTATTTAGGAGATGGTGGAGTTTTAGTCTGAGGCTGGCAGACGCAAACGAGGCAGGGAGCACAAACTGAAACCCACCTGCCTGCGAAGAAATACTGTAAAAATTGACGCCTACGCGCGTTATTTATAGGCTCGCTCGCCGCCGCTTAGCCATACCATAAATACGCGTCTGCAAACGAGAGAGTCGACAGTCAAACTAAGCTAGGTAAAGTGGGATTGAGTTATTGAGTTATGGGGACATAAATCCAAACTGGAAGGAACAGATGGTGGCCATGATCGCGTTTTACACCCACCCCACCCCGTTAAATAATGATAACGCCTTTCAGTGAAGGCGACAGGAATACTCACGGGGACTGACGCAGGAAGGTGTTAAAGGCTGGGAAGCGGAAACGGGGCCTCTTCTCTCTCTCTCTCACCGGCCGGGGCTGAAGGAGCCGGGCGCGCTTTCCTAGGCGATCCTCAGGTCGCGGTGGTGGAAGGAAGAAGATCTCCTAGTTTCGCGACGCAGTTTTCTTTTCGTCCCAAGACGCCGACCTTGCCGAGTCCTAGCGAGATCCGGATCCACCGGCGGAAGGCTCCCCTCCGACGTGGATGAAGGAGATAACTGAGAAGCTAGAAGGTGCAGGCCGTTTCCTCGCCCAGAAGGGACCTAAATCCTCAGGAGAAGCGGCACATTTATTAAGCACTAAGGACTCGCGGACTAAGGACTACGTATTCTCCGAGAGAAAAGACAAGCCTATTTATTTGTTTACGCCATATTCATAAGAAAGACCGTTATGGCCCAATAATTTGTCGAAAAATCACCTGCTCGGTTAAGCGGATACACAAATTGATAGGGAAAATCAGAACCACCCGGTTTAAGTTAACCAGAAAAATAGGAATTTACCCGTCCTCGATGCTAAGCACCCGGAATGGACGTCAACTTTCCTTCCAAAATAAGAAGACCTCCCGAATCCACAGTTCCAAAAGAAGTGTGACTTTGACGGCAGCCAAAACTGCACACATCCCAGGCACTTTTAGTCATTCCCTTCTCTCTTCCTAACCCCCGCCATTCCACCTAATGTTTCTCACTCGCCCTAAACCCCGTTTCTGTGGGAGCTCAGCTGGCGAATAACGCGGACCTTTTTTTTAATATAGAGATCCATGGATGTAACAAAAGGGAAGAAGAGCCCGGCATGTTGGAGAGAATTGCGTTTTTAAAAGCTAGCTATGAACAATATTTGGGGGCGTCGAGGGAGAAACAGCAGCCTAACCGAACATGAATAAATCACAGAACTATTTAGAAAACACACACCCCCCGCATCCATACAAGCGGAGAGAAGCCTTGCTGGTTCAGAGGCGCCGTGTGTGGCATTCGTAAAATGCTTGCCTGCCTACAGAAGGGCTTCATTACGCTCCCAATAGATAACATTTGGTAAAGTCCATCCCCAGATTAAAACGCTACATAATGGCACCGTAAACGAAGTCGTGGCTTTTTGTGTGGTCTTTGTGGGGGTGGGGAATGGAAACATTAGCCTTCCCCTTAGCCCAGCAATTCCCTCCCAATTCAGCCCCAGTAATTCGCCTTCTCTCCGGCCCGCGGGGGATCTGATGAAGGGCCGGTGGGCGGCGAGAGGAAGGCGGGTGAATGAATCCGCACTTTGTACTTCGGGGAGAAAAGAGGAGGAGGAGGAGGAGGAAGGTGGGCTGCGAGGGCGCTTTGACACCGTCCCACCAGCTTGCTTTTTAGGGCCCAAGCCTCTCCACCCGGCTTGATCTCTTTCGCTGCGCCTTCAAAGCGAAAGGGGACCCCGGGGTCCATTTGCATGCCAGTGGGGAGCCCCTGTTCAAACGAGGTTGCTCGGAGTCCCATCAAAGGCTGCTCGGCCTTTGTTGCAGCAGCACCTGCTTGGGCAAACAGAGCCAGCCAGCCAGCCAGCAGCAGCAGCAGCCATAGCCTAGCTAGGCCCTTCTTGCGGGCTAAACTACCCTCCCAGGGCCGCCAGCCAGTAAGCAAGGCAAAAGAGAACGGTGCTGAGAAGCCGAGCCCCTCCGCCCCCCCCCCGGAGAAAGCCCAGACATAACAAACACGACAATGTTGCGTCGGCCAGTTTGGAACCAGACTAAACACTCGCCTGCCCTCGTTTCCCCCGTACTAGCGGTTGCAAAGCAATATTTCCAACTCCGAGCTGCTTGTCAGGTGGAGGCCGCTGTCCAGATTGCACTGCCAGTTGCTGATATCAGAAATGCAAGCAAGCGAATTGGAGGGGGGGGAAGAGCTCCCTCGCCACAAACCTTGGAACACGATTTGCCTCTTAAGGAACCCCAGGGGGAAACGCCAGGCACGCACATCCCGAGCATCACTATGAAGTCTCACGCCCTGAACCCAGGAGCGTTTTCCTCCCTCCTCCGCCTCACCAGGGGCAAACTAAGCTTTATTTTACCCGGGTCAAAGGCCCAGTTTGGCACAACACCCTCCCCCCCCCCGCGCGCACACACACACACACACACACAGGTTGGGAGCCTCAGTCTAGCCTCAGTCGCTAGTCCCCCGTAGCTATGGCTCTGGCATCACTGTTTTGTTGTTCCTGTTGTTGGTAAACAAAAAAATGAAAAATAAAATCACAAGATAAAACTGGCTTGTGGAAGCCTTTTTTCAGGTTTGTGTGTATGTGTGTGGAATCAGATTATTGTGGTATTCTGGCTCTTTAGGAAATAATAGTATTTACCCAAATAAAGGGGTGCCGGGGCTTTTCAACAGATCATCCCAAACACGAGTTACCCATGACTTGGGAGGGGGGGCGGAGGAATCGCACAGATTTTAGTTGGGGACATCCTTTCAGGGAAGTATCTTAAGACCGGAAACTTATTTAGAAGCAAGTGTCAAGGGAGAGGACGGGGTGTTTTTACTTCCAAGTCAACGTGTGCCGGAGCCAGGTATTGAATTTTCAGAAATATCACTATCACCTTCTAACTCTCAATCCTCCCGGTGAGTCGTTACAAATGAGGCACCCGGGTCTGAGGTTTTGCGGGACAGCTCCTTCAGGAGGGTTGTGGAAGTCAGCGGCGTTGAAGTCTGCGCAATTTCACTTCCAGGCGAACGAGCTCAGGGCAGGCAGAAGGGCCCGCTTCCTGTTTTCGCTGGCTGAGCACCTGCCACTTCCGGTATGCCACCACGTTTTTACAGAGATGCTATGGAAAGCTTCGTTGAAAATCTGTGGCTGCTGCAAGATTCCAGGCCCTGCGACCTTACCTAGCTGGGAGTACGTCTCAGTGGGTTCAGCGGGATTTACTTCAAAGTAGACATGCACAGGATTGGCAATGTATTTCTCTTAGCACACGCCTTGCATAAGTGCCCTTTGATATTCTCCATTGGTTACAATAACCTCACGATGCGAAAAAGAACTTAAATCTCACCACCTATTTGTGCACTTAAAAAAGAAATAAACGTAGACCGTAAACATTCTTAAAACGACTTCATAAATCACCTATAATGATGAGCAATACTTTCCCAAGTTTTTGTTCTGCAAGGAAATTAGTTGGAGAACGTTGTTTGTTTGCTTTCCTGAAAGGAGCACTATATGCTGATCTTGAACACGCCTCAAAAACTCACCGACTTTTAGCACATTTTTTAAAAAGTTGGATTTCGACAATTACTGCATTAATTAAAAAAAAAATTCCAACTCTGCGCTCCTAGAAGGCTAATCCTATCTTACAATCTTGTAAAATAATAATAATAATATATGAATTCGCAAAATCCTTAAAAGGGAGTACTTCCTTCACCTCAATAAAGTAGTCCTCTCAAGGTTTGGGAAAAGTAGTGTCAGAATCTTATTCTTATTTGCAATGGAACTAAAATGTAGAACCAAAGCATTGAAACCGATCATTATGAACACTGATTTATATATATATAACGTTTTAATTGTTCAGCATTCTCATAAGCGACAAACCACCTCATACTTGTCTAGCATTCTTTCAAATATTTAAAAGCAAAATGTGCGATACTTATTGCAATACTTTAATGATGCCCACGTAGCGCGGTGACTGCAGTTCTAGTGTGATTACCTTGCAAGGTGGGCACTTATTTGCGACACCGTCCTAAAAACCTAAAAACCACAAACAATAACCCTCCCCCCCCCAATTATCTATTGTATAACCCTGGAGCGGGAGGAAAGCCATAGCAATTGTGATGCGGTTGTAATGTAAAATACACTTTAGAAGTTCTTAAAAGAATCTACATTTATTTGATTCAAATACAAAAAAGGTGTATTTATAGAAGATTATAGCCTGCAGAAGGCCGAAATTATCCATCACCAAAACAGTTACTTTGTTTTCTTTGGTTAGTCATTGCTCGGGTATACCCACGTATTTTTAAAATTTATTTGTGAAGGCTTGAAAATCGTGAGTGAGTGAAGTTTAATGCGGTCCAGAATTTAAGCTGGTTGGCGTCATGTCTGACTAGAAAGCAAGTCCCTTTCATTCCAGCTGAACTTCCCCAGAGAGAATTTTCAAGATGGCCGCGATCCTGAGTACCTATTTAGAAGCCCAACTGAAAGCAAAGGAAAACTTTCTTCCTACTAAACCCGCATGTTTAGGGTACCAGTCCCATTGAGCAACATGGGGTCCAACATTAAATGAAGGGGTGGGGGGGTTTAAGTAAAAGGGGGCGCCCTCCAACATTGCTAGATTGTGGAGGATTCTTCTGAGTTAATTATTTGGTGGAAAGACATTTTGCACTCTTTCTTTTCAAGCACAGATTATTAATCTACTCTGGATTATTTTTTAAAAAAATAAATCGTATTCCCAGGATCATAATTATAGGTTAGAAGTTCATAGGGCAAAGCACTAAATAGGTGAAGGTCTAAAGCCAATTGTGGAATTAATTTTGTTGAAAATTTATTGCTTTATTTTCAAAAATGTGTTTAAAAAAGTGGTTTTTTGTTGTTTTTGTTTTACAATTAGAATGGTACAATAATACTCGGCAGTAATTTTAACAATATTCCTGGTAAAGAATATGCACAAAGTATAAAAGAAAAGAAAAACTCCACAAGCCTATTATGATACAAAAACAAACACAGGTTAAAATAAGAATTGATAATCTCGACTTTCTTCTGTGTAAACATGTTAATTTTTTTTTCATATATAAAAGTACATAAGACAAGTGAACTACAATGAAAGAAGATGGGTAAAGCTTCTTTTTGTCGTCCCCCCTTACTCCTATTCATCGTTATTTTTTTGGGGGGGGGAATTGTTGTAGTTTAGCTGTAATTTAATTTAATCCTTGGACCCGGTAATCTCTGCCTTGGAATGATTTATTTAGAACGCGCGTGTTTGTTAAAGGAAAGAATTAAGGGCCACTTCTTTGACATTTAATCTTTCTGCCTATGCAGCATATCGAAATGGCTTTGCATAAATAGGAGGTACTGAAGTGGACCGAGCCAGGTGGGCCGAAAGACAAAACAAACAAACAAACAAAATGTGGCCTAAATAAAAAATAGAAACAAAAAGTTTCTTTGCCTTCTTTAGACGGGAAAAAAAGAGCAAAAACAGCCCCACTGGGTCCTACCTTCAGCTAGACAGTTTTTTGTGTGTTTTGTTTTTAACAATTGGAAATCCTAGCAGTAAAGTTCTCGACGTTGGCCAAGGCTGCCCCTTGGTGCAGAGTCCCCAGCGAGGCGGCGACGGAAGAGGACGGAGGCGGCGGCGGCGAGGCGAGCGCAGGCGACGAGGCCATCAGGGACCTGGCCAGGACGGGCAGGACGGCCGCCTGCGAGGCGCAGCTGCTGGCGGCCAGGGGACTCAAGCCCCCGCCGCCGCCGGCGCCGCCGATGATGCTCTCGATGGAGAAAGGCGACCTGGCCAGCGCCGAGCTGCTCTTGGCGGCCGCCGCCTGCAAGGAGGCCGCGAGAGACGGGCTGAGCTGCGCCGGGTAGCCGAAGCTGGTAGTCCTGGCCAGGTCGGCCGCAGGAGAGGCGGCAGCGGCGGGAGGCAGCAGCGCGGGCGGCGCAGCCGGCAGGACGGGCCCGGCGGCCGGAGGAGGAGGCGGCGGCCGCGCCTGGGGCTGGAAGGCGAAGAGAGCCGAGGGAGGCGGGTAAGGCGGCAGCTGCAGGCCGTAGGCGCAGCTATAGGGCCCGTAAGCGAAGGGGGCAGGCGGAGGCGCGGGCGGCGGGTGCTGCTGCTGCCGCGGCGGCGGCGGAGGAGGCGCCTGGTTGGGGTGCTGCTGCGCCGCTTGGAGGAAGGCGGCGGCGGCGGCGGGCTCGAGCCCCCTGAGGAGCAGGTCGGGCGGCTGCAGCAGCGGCTGCCTCTTGAAGCGCTTCCTGCGGCGCAGGAAGGAGCCGTTGTCGAACATGTCGGCCGACTCCGGGTCGAGCGTCCAGTAGTTGCCCTTGCCCGGGTTGCCCGGCTCGCGCGGGATCTTGACGAAGCAGTCGTTGAGCGACAGGTTGTGTCGGATGGAGTTCTGCCACGCGGGGAACTTCTCGCGGTAGTAGGGGAAGCGGGCGCTGATGAACTCGCAGATCTCGCTCAGCGTCAGGCGCTTCTTGGCGCTCTGCAGGATGGCCATGGTGATGAGGGCGATGTACGAGTAAGGCGGCTTCACCAGGCTGTTCTTGGCGCCCGCCGGGACGCCGGCGCCCCCTGAGGCGCCTCGGAAAGAGCCCTGAGGGGAAGAAGAAGAAGAAGAGGAGGAGGAAGACGACGACGAGGAGGAAGGCGAGCCGGAGCCGGGGGACTCTCCTCCTGGCCCGCGCGCCCCGGGCGCCTCAGGCAGCGAGGCGGCCTCCTCGTCCTCGTCCTCCTCGTAAGGCCGGCGGCGGAGGGGCTCGTCGTCGTCGTCCTCGTCGTCCTCGTCGTCTCCCTCGTCGTCGTCGTCGTCCCCCTCGCCCACCACGTCGATGTCTGTCTCCTCAGCCAAGGCAGACGCGGCCTCGGACATCTCCGCGCTCAGAGTCATCGCGGGGCGCAGCCGGGCATGGGAGGAGGGGGCTGCCTGGCACAAGGCTGGCGGGGCGGCGAGGGCGAGGGGAGGGCGCCCCGGCTGGGCTCACACGCTTCGCCCCCCGCCGGCCCGCCCGGCCGCCCGCCTTCACGCCACGGCCGGAGAAGACAGCGGCGCGAGCGAGGCCGGCGGCGACCAGCCTCTCCAGCTGGGCACCTCCTCGGCGCTGCCCTCTTCCTCGTCGTCCTCCTGAGGAGAAGGCGCTCGCTTGCTGCTGCTGCCGCCGCCGCCGCCGCCGCCGCCTCCCTCAGACATGAATGGGTCCAGGGTGGGAAAGGGAGAGCGACTACTATTGGGGAGGGAGAGCGGCGGGCGAGGCGGGCGGGGACGGGGTGGGGGGAAGAGGAGGAGGAGGAGCGGGCGGCGCCCGCGAAGTCTTGAGCAAGATCTTGGCAGCGCCCGGGCTGAGGCCGAAAGGGGGCGGCCTTTCCTCCTGCCCGCCCGCCCGGGAGGGGGCCGTCACGTGGTTGGAAACGTCAGAGCCGCCGCTGCGAAAACATTCCAGGAATAAAAAAAGAAGAGGCGTGGGGGAGAGAGAGAGAGAGAGAGAGAGAGAGAGAGAGACTCGGAATTGCGAGCGGGAGAGGAGAGCAAATAAATAAATAAGCACCCATCTCGCGCCTTGAATAGCCCCATTGTTGAGCTTTAGGGTGGCGGAGGGAGCCGGGAGAGGCAGCCCTTCCATCTCCAGCGGGCTACTGCTTCCCAGTCAGCCTTGATCCCCTGTTTTACCACCCAGCTCTTTCTGGCTTGGAAAGGGGTGTGTGTGTGTCTAATATACAGGTCCTGTATACCTGAAGGAGCATCTCCACCCCCATCGTTCTGCCCGGATACTGAGATCCAGCACCGAGGGCCTTCTGGCGGTTCCCTCATTGCGAGAAGTGAAGCTACAGGGAACCAGACAGAGGGCCTTCTCGGTAGTGGCGCCCGCCCTGTGGAACGCCCTCCCATCAGATGTCAAAGAGAAAAACAACTACCAGACTTTTAGAAGACCTCTGAAGGCTGCCCTGTTCAGGGAAGTTTTTAATATTTGATGCTGTATTGTTTTTAACACTTGATTGGAAGCCGCCCAGAGTGGCTGGGGAGACTCAGCCAGATGGGCGAGGTATACATCATATTATTATTATTATTATTATTATTATTATTATTATTATTATTATTATTATTATTATTATTATCAAAGCCGCCTTTGGAACGCCAGGACCTCCTCCCCCCCCAGAGAAAGAGAAAACGCTCGATCTGACCGAGGGGAGAGAGGTCTCCAGGCTCGCCCTGCATTACGCAGCTGGCGAGGAGGAGGCAGGCAGGAGGCGGCCCCGCGGAGGGGCTCCTCGTCCCACCCCTGGACCGGACAAGCGGGTTTCCTGGTCGTGGGAAGCTGGACGGAGTGCCGCGTTTGTCAGAAGCCTGTCCTCCTCCTGCCGAGCTGAGTTTACGCCGGGGAACCGGGGACTGTCATCCGCGTCTCCGGTGCGCTGTCAAGGGCTCCAGCTACACGCTTTGCTGTCGAGGAAAAGGAGGAAGGCGCACGCAAACACACCAGGGGAAAAAGGTTTTAGGTCCAGCAACAAATCGCCGCGAAATTGATTCCTGGGGGGACCACAGCATCCATCTGAAAGGTTGCTCCCAGTCCCCTTAAGTGATCGCGTGCAAATAATTCCAGTGAAATTCGACAAGAACTTTTCCAAGCTGGGTCCTCCGCATAGGCAGCCGAAGGACACGATTCTGCGGGGACTTCTCCTGCGCAAGCAACGCTTCCCATGCATTTCAAGGAGGGGGCGTGCGCGGGAGAACTTCCCGAGGGCTTGTTGTTCCGAAAGAAACCGCTCTTAAAGAATAACAAATTATTTCCCCGCACAAACAGATGACGGGGATTCGAAGCTAGAAATGTTCCAAACTGAAGAAAAGAAAATTAAACGGAGAATATGGGAGATGAGCAGGATCCTATTCATGTGAAGCACTTGAAAGTATTTGGTTTACACACACACACACACACATTCTATTTTACACCAACACGAAAGCAAAACAATGCAATAGAAGGATTTCAAAATAAGAGATCGACACTCTGATCCTAAATGAATTCCCTCAGAAATTCCAATGGAATTAAAGAGAGTCCGCCAGAACAGGTTTGGGAGAGCAGAGAGCGCCTGATATTGTCATTCCTTTGAGGGAAGGCAAGATGAGCTGGCTTCATTTGTTTCTGCGAATTTTTCCTGCCGGGTGAAGCAACTTGATCGTCACCGGTATCCTATAGTTCAGGACCTAGAACAAACCTCTCGGAAAATCTTATTTATTTCCTTGCAACTTTTACTTCCGACCAGACGGGCTTCAGAAATTATAGCTGCTTCACTGATCTTAACGCTGCGGTCCATTAAGGGTGATTTAAAGTATGGTTTGTTTGGGGGATTTAATGAATAATTTATCACACGAGAGGGGTGTGTGTGTGTGTGTGTGTGTGTGTGTGTGTGTGTATATATATATCGGTATATAAAAATGGCCGCACGGGATTATTCAAGTTTTCTCAAAAAAATAACTAACATATGTAACACGTTTCTTTTAAACCAGAGCATTATTTACAATACACTGAATACAATACTACCCGCAAAGCACAATCATTTGCCATATTTTTTGAGGTGGATAAGTTCACATATAAAAAGTTTCTCCTGAATAAAATATAATGATAGGAAACTTTCCCACAGATTCCTACCGCCCCTTATCGTATGACCAAAGGTTTCTGAAGTGAAATGCTGCCCTCGTACCAGAAAGCCTAACTACTTTCTGTAGAAAGAAGATGCCCTGTTTAGCAAATGAGTGAAAAGACCGAAGTCCCGCTCTTTCGTAAAAGTGTTCCAGGCGGTTTACAACACCATAATTTGGAGCCATCTAAGTGGTGGGATTCCCCCCTCCCCAAAGTAATGGGCCTAGAAACATGGGACGTTCATGTCCCACTGATTTCACTGCAAATTACGCCTGTAGCCTGGCCATAAGATCAGCCAGAACTCAGGCTGTCAAAATACAGTTAAGAATTAACAGATGTCACGAAAGTCGGGGCGAAAGTCCCACATATCTTAACGGAGCGGGGCTTTAACACCAGGTCCTTCTACTCAGGCTTGTTTGCCAACTAGTTTTATCGCCAAATATTTTAATTAAAACATCTACTCTCACAAGGAGGCGGGCATGGAGAAATGAACAATTTATAGCTATTTAGGATGATGAGTAAGAAAGCAAGACGTTTATTTCCTTCTTATACAGCTTTTTAAAAAGAAATCTACCAAGTTGAAAAGTCTTCTACAGTGATGATGATGATGATTTCACTTTTCCGAATGTTTAGTGTTTAGGTTGGAATTAGGTGACCTGCGAGAAGGCAGACTTAGAAGCATTTAGTTGGAAATGTCTGATATTATGGGGTGCTAAGGAATTGCAGAAGGAGACTATACCAAATGCAACTGAAGAATGTATCTAAATTGGGATGGAAGCGGGTGCATATTTGCCTGGTAGTAAGTCGCATTGCACTCAATAGGGCTTACACCCAAGCAAGCGAGAGGGTCTCAGCTTTGCCGTCTGAGAGTGAAGCCTGAACTTATTCACATCGCTGAGAACTGAAAAGGTTCCACTGGAAGTGGAAGATGTCTAAGAGAGCCAAGCAGGCGTAAGTCCCATCATCGTAGCCTCAACCTAAAAGCATTTAATTGGACACGAACCTCACCAATTTCAGCAAAACATCCCTCCAAGTAAGCGTGCTTAGGATCGCAGCCTGAACACCAAAGAAGAAGAGCCAAGATTAAAATACTGAGCGATTAGGTGAGACCCACCAAAGGCCCTCAGTCAATCAGACACAGAAATTCAGCCCATTTCCCTTGGAAAGCTGCCTCCTGGAGATCTTACTTTTAGGTCGGGGGATCCGGCTTCCGGTATGATGGCGACCAGCACTTTACTAATGTGAGCCCGTTGATTTTATCTTTTTATTTTCTCTTACTCCTTTTAAAGACTATTTTAATGAACACTGAGCTCAGATAAATTTAAGCACCTTACCGCATTCTATCCCACGCTGTGTATTCTTGACTCTTCTTGGAAGTTTAAAGCTGAACTGACTATCTTATCACATTGCGAAGAGTTTACAGGAAGATTCATGGGCTGCTCCCACCACAAGTTTGGAGGCACAGACAGAGCATAATTTAGTGTTATGCCAATAACCCCTGGCACACTCCTTCTCCTTGAATAGGATACTTTCAAGGAAATACTCCCTCGACTCTTTGAAAAACCTAGGGAAGATAAAAGAGTGAGGTAAAGGGAGAGATGACTCAGCAATTAGACAGCCCTGCTCATGCGAGGAGGGGGGTTGGAAAACGCTGCAGAGAATCTGAGGACTTAGAGGAAATGGCATGTTTGCCCCTCACCAAGCAAACCAAAATCAGCGAATTCTTTTATGGAAAAGCAAAGGATACTTTTAATATTCCAACCTCGAATAGCTTCTCTCCATTAGCAGAGATAATAGATAAGGAAACTACACCGAAGGAACTATCCGCTAAACAACCCACTAACCCCTTAAACAACACCATCACGAGACCAAAAGGTCCCAAAAAAGTTCCAACTATGTCCATTCAGGCGGAAGACAGCATCAGAGAACAAGAAAACCATCTCTCTGAACTACTACTTGAACACTCTACCACGTTAGACCTAGTGGCTAAAACCGTGGACTATATTTTTAAATACATAAGAGATATCAAAGGCTCCCTAGAGAAGATTATATCCTTTGTATCCCCAAAAGTTAATGTCAGCCCCGTAGACGCTTCACCGGAGGATAGGACCGAACCAACACCTAGAGTACCTGTCCTACTGCGCTCAACTTCGCAGACTGGCTGCAAATTTGAAAATAAACAAACTATGGAAGATTTACACACCATATCTTCCTACAATCTTTCACTACAAGCCACTAGACTTTGTTTAATTATCCTCCCCTTCAAAGGTCAAGTTGTTAACTGGTCGTCTATACATGTCGCAAGAAGGCATCTAGCTGAGCTTTTGGGCGTAAATCCCCTTTCCATCGATCTGAAATCCATTGTCCACATTTACAGCAAGCCACACATGCAGAGGATACTGCTCACCTTCGAATCTAAAAAGTTTCCAACTTATATGATGTCTCTACAAAGCTACCTGTCTAATTATGGAATTTTTATTACAAGAGTTTTTATCAACACTAAGATTTGCCCTCTTATTCCCTACTCTCCAGCTAAAAGGAAAGCATTTAAAAACGAGGGCACCCCACCTACTACGAGCTCTACCTCTC